GGTAGTGTGCTTCTTCTATAATTCCCAAAGCCTTTTGTTGCAGTATTACAAGTTTCTTTAATGATGTCTGATCTGTGGATCCCCAGGCTATTATTCCAAAATTTATGTGAGCTGCAAAAAGTGCGTGATATGCTGTTATTGTTATCGATTTGTTTGTAATTTTCCGTATTCTTCTCAGTGCAAAAAGGGCTGATGACAGTTTTTTATGCAAGTTGTCTATATGCTTGTGCCAGTTTAGGTTCTTGTCAATTGTAATTCCTAGGAATTTTGCATTATCGGTTATGTTTTGCTGTGTGAGGTTTCCTTCTTCTTGCTGTCTGTTTGTAGTTGTGAATTTTATGTGTATAGTTTTCTTCTTATTTATAGTTAGGTTCAAGTTGTCACAGATTTCTGTTGATAGTTTTAGGGTTTCTTCAATTTTTTGGGGTGTTTCTTCTGTTTTAGTTGTCGGAGTTATGATTGTGGTGTCATCAGCGAACATTATGCATGTATAATCTGGGGGTAAGTTGTCTGGAAAACTGTTTATATAAGCAAGAAAAAGTAGAGGCCCGAGTATGGAGCCTTGTGGCACGCCGTATATGGTCTTTTGTAGTTCTGATCTAGTTTTAATTTGGTAGTTATTTTTGTAGTGTTCTATTTCAACGGTTTGGCTTCTGTTATCAAGGTAGTTTTGTATCCATTTTATGGCATTTCCAGTGATGTTCATGTCTTCTAGTTTTGTGATGAGAAGCTTCCGATCTAGGCTGTCAAAAGCCTTTTGTAGGTCCAGGAAAGTTGCTGTGGCTTGCTTCTTGTCTTCCCATAAGTTAGTAATTGTTTCGCATAGTTGGGCTAGGGCTGTATTTATCGACTTTCCCTGTCTGAATCCGTGTTGGTTTGGAGATATTAATTTTGTGTTTTCGAGAAAATGTATCAGTTGAATATTTATTGTTTTTTCCAGATATTTTGAGAAGGTTGGTAGTAGCGATATTGGTCTGTAGTTTTCTATGAGCTGTGTTTCTCCTTTTTTGAATTTAGGATACACTATGGATATCTTCATTAGTTCTGGGACAGTGGATTGCTCAATTGAGGCGTTTATGATGTGTAAAAGGGGTTCTAGAAGTTCATTTTGACAGAATTTGATTATTTTATTTGAAATGTTGTCTATTCCTGATGAGTTCTTGGCTGGGAAACTGTTAAAAATCCAAATCAACTCACTTTTTGTTATTTTAGTGAAGTGCTCCAGTTTAGCTTTTGTTTGGTGTAAGCCTGTTTGTGGGTCCGGTCGGTTAAGCTTGCAATTTGTATCTTCATTTTTACTTAGGCCTGGTGGATTTGTAGGTGCTCCTATTTTTATGAAATAGTTGTTGAAATGTTGGCTTAGATTGTTTGGGTCTGTCTCGATATTGTTGGCTATTTTCAACGTAATGTTCTGGTTTGAAATTTTAGGCGCTTTCCTTTCTTTATTTATTACCCTCCAAATCTCTTTATTTTTATTCTTGGATTGTTTTATATGTTCTATAGTATGTAGTGCCTTTTGGTCTCTTACATGTTTGTCGTAGGTAGCCTTTAGTCTTGTAAATGTTTGTTTATCTTCTAGTGAGTCTGTGAGTAGGAATTTGCTGTGTGCGGCTGCAGCTGCATTTTTCAACTGTATGGTTTTGTTGTCCCAAAATGGGTTCTTAGGTTTAATGTTATAGGTCTTATATGTTCTAGGCATTGTCGAGTCCATTTCTTTTATTATAATTTCCAGGAAGTTTTTGTATTTTTCATTAACGGTTTCCGCTTGGTAAACATTTTCCCAATTTTGCTCACTTAGATTTCTCTTTAGTTTGATGAGGTTGTTGTCCGTCGTAGGTTGTATTATTTTCTTCAGCGGTGCTGTTTCGTTTAGGGCGCGATTTAGCAGTGTACAGCTAATTCCGTGATGGTCTGAGATCACATTCTTGTGTGTTTGTATTTTCATGGTTTTGGGGTCCAGGTTTGTGATACATGTGTCTATGCTGCTGATTGAGTTTCTGGTTAATCTGGTGTATGGTATATCTATTATTTAGGTTGTGTTCCAAAAAGAATCGTTCAAACACTTGGAAATTATGGTCCAGTTTCTGTCTGATGTTCACATTAGTGTCGCCCATCAAGATTATATCTTTTTTGTTTCCAGTAAAAATGCACAGTAGTTTGTCTAAGTTGGCTAGAAATTTGTCTAGGTCTTGGTTAGGGGATCTGTATGCTCCTATTATTATTAAATTATGCTTTTTTATCTCAAAGGCTGCTATTTCAGATATGAGCTCCTCGTTTATATCGGTTGTGTTTATCTGTTTTAAGTTTTTTGAGAGGTTTTCCTTTGCGTAGATGGCAATCCCACCCCATTTATGTTTAGTTCTTGAAAAACTGCATATTAGCATGTATCCTTCAATTTGAGTTTGTTGAAGCATATCATTTGACATTCCATGTTCGGTGATGATCAGTATTTCGGGACTTACTGTACTTATTTCTATGAGAAGTTTCTCTATCTTCTTGTGTAGTCCTCGCTGTATGTTTAATTGGAATATCTTTAGGTTAGGTTTATTTTTTGTTTTCTTGCTTTTGTATTGGTATGTGCAAGTTAGGCTGAGTGGGGTGGGGAGTGTTCCGTTTTCCTATGGGGATTTTGGATTATTGTCCGTGTTTTCTGAGTCTGGGTTTGGGTTTTGAGGTGTCGGGCTTTGTGTGTCTTGGGTGTGTTCTTCATTGGTGAGATTTATTATTGTAGAAGTAGAGGTTTCCAGTAGGGAGTCCTGAGTTGGGTTTTCAGTTTTTAAGTCCAAGGCTTCCACAATAATTTCCGCCAGTGTTAATGCTCCTAGTCTGTTTGGATGTATTCCATCTGGTTGGTAGCAGTTTTCTTCGGATGCTGGTGAGGTGTCTATGTATGTTGCTCCTAACTGTTGACACATGAATTTTAGTGCTTCGTTTGTGTTATGGATGTACTTGTCTCTTATATCTGCTCGGGGAAGTATTCCGTTTACATACCATTTTACTTCACAGAATTTTTTTTCCCTGCTTCTATAGCATACCATAATGGTCGCATCACATGGTTTGGTGTCTTAGCTGTTCCAACATTGTTTGAGCCTATATTTATCAGCACTTTTTCAGGAAGATATTGTGCTCTGCTGATGTGTTGGCTAATGTCTTTTATTACTGCGCCTGGTTTCACTCTGTTGTCTATGGTGCGTCCCAGTGACGCTTTTAGCATGCTAGCGGCTGCACGTAGTGTGGAGTCTCCCAATAGAAGTACTTCAAGTGTTTTTTTGTTGCTTTTAGGTGGGTTTGTGGTTAGGGGTTGTTCTATAGATTTTTCCCTTTGGTCGGATCCAGTCTCCTGTGTATCGTCATTTTCTGTAGGCCTATTTCTGTTTCTTTGGCCAACTTGTTTTTGTTCAGGCTTGTGTATATTTTTGGTCATAGACTTATCTGGATGTGTCTTTTTGTTTTGAGGGTTTTTGTTTGAAGCTTTTTTTTGTACTGGGCCTGGGCCTTTAGTGACGTTTGAGAAGTTCAGTAGGCCTGTAGGCCTATTATTTTTATTAGTTTCCAGTGCTTCTTCCATTTTTGGGGTAGAGTTGGAATTTTTGGAATCATCTTCAAGGCATATGTCTCGGATGGTTTCCTCTAGTTTAAAGATCACTTCCATTTTTTTAATTATCACATCCGAGAGCCTAGCATTTTCTTCTTTTTCTTTGCTTATTTGGTGTTTCAAGGTGTTAATGTCTTCCATCAGTATTTCAATAACTTTATTTAGTTGTGTCGCTTTCTGTTCTTCCTTCTTCTCGCTTTCTCCGGGCTGTGCATTGGAGTCCTCTGTTTTGCTAGTCTGTGAAGTATTCACATTGTCATGGCTTATTTCTAGTTTTGGCTTAAGATTATAACATGTCTTACATATCCAAGAGAATACAAAGTCATCATTTATAAGATCTCTATATTGTTTTTTGGTAATGCCGACACATTGAATGTGGTACCAGCCGCTTTGACAGTCACATTCGACTGCTTCATGTTTTTCCTCCACGTTTTTTTGGCAAACTTTGCAGGGGTAGGTAGGAGACATTTTTTTTTTTTTTTTTTTTATGTAGGAATTTGGTTAAGTTGGAAAGGTGGGTTCAAGGTTAAGGCCTGGGTGTTTTGGCTGGGTTTGGGGTTTGGTTTGGCTTGTTGGATTCCTACTTGTTTTTCAGTTTTTTTTTATTTATTTAATTTTACAATTTTTTTTTTTTTATTAACCTAGAGTTGTTTTCTTTCTCCTAAAAAAAAGTTGCAGTTTTGTTACTATTTTTTATTTAGGCTACTTATTGTTTAAGTTTAATATTTTGTGCCACATACCTGCTTTTCCTACACATAGAAATGCTCACAGTACTAATGGTTGGTTGGTGCAGTGTCTTGTTGTTGTGTTGCCTTCTCAATCTGACAGATTTTGTCTGCTAGGTTGGAGGTAGAGCTGTTTTTTCTTCTTACTTCTTGCTTTTAAGTTTCATCTATTCAAAATGGCGTCAGGTTTCTGTATTTCTTACGTTATTTGGTTTTATTACTGTTTCTTAATCAATTTTTGCTTTCAAATAGATTTTTGATTGGTGTTGACTGTTGAGATGTTTATAGACTGTAGGTAACAATTTCTAAATATGGTAGTTATTTTAGAATGAGTTTGAAAAATGGAGGTGGGTGTCCTATGGCCTGTAAAGGGTGTCACTTGTTTTGTCACTTTAACACTTGATATTTGTCGTATAAATCAAAACTTATTTATTCACTGTGTTTTAGATGTTTAGATCTCACTTATTCACTAGTATTTCGTCGCACAAAACGTAAAATCGTAATAAAACTGATTAAAAGAACTGGAGGGTTCACAGGAGAGATCTTGTTTCCAGCCACGGCCTCCTTGATCCTCCTTAATCAAACATTTGTTTACAATAGACCAATATGTAAAACGCATCAGCTGCACAGGCTAGAACTTAATGTTTAGTGAGAGTATTAATAAACCAGCTGCAGCTGTTTTGTTGTAACTGTATGTGTTTTACAAATCCAGTTACTCCGGAACTTATCTTTAAAAATTTACAAAAAGGCTGCAGCTGTTTGTGCGGAACTACATTCAAATCGTTCCACCGAGCTGCAGCTGAAAAAGTAGTTCCAGTGGAACTGGAACTGGATTGTGGTTCCGCTTGGAACGGTGGAACGAGTTCCACTCTCGGAACGGTGGATAAATGTAGTTCCAGCTGCAGCGACACATCTCTACAACAACAACAACAGCAGCATCAGAGGAACTTGCATCGTCATTGTATAGTATTTTGCCATTACTGTATTCTTAAAGGGTTTAAAATGCCAGATTATTTAGGTGATGATATGAGAAAAACTAAGGATGAAAAAGAAGGGGAAGAAAAGGAAATCAAATGTACGTATGCAATTATCTGCACCAGAATTTCTGCCTCTCTTTTTAGGTTAGGGTATCCAAAAGTCAAAGATTGGTAAAAAGTATCCTCACTAAAATTCAATACGTTTGAAGTTTATTAAGTTATGTTTATATCTAAGCGTACAAATGTCTTTGGTAACATCCTTCTTCTAATAGATTTTAGTTCAGTCAGACAAGGCCTGGGAAAAGGTAACCTAACATGCTGTTTCCTACTTGACATGACTAGGCCTGGTTTAGACCTGGAGTGTACCCGCGAATGTTCTTTTAAGAAATAAGGCATTTTGAAAACATCTTGAAAACATATGAAAACGTTTTACATAAGCTTATAATTCTGCCTGTTTCCAAATGCTTTGTTTGAGAAATATTTTAGATATGAAAACACGTTTAACGATATAAATGCCTATTTTTATTCAATACTGCATTATGGGATTGAATTTTGGGGATTCTCATCAGAAATAGAAAAGATTTTTAAAGTAAAAAAAAAACTTAAGAATTATGACATTTGCTAAACGGAAACATTCATGTAGACCAATTTTTAAAGAACTTAATATAATGACAGTATACCAAGTTTAATCATTTTTAAATCCTTATTAAGTTAATGGTACCTACAGTCAAATTTTGAAAACTTATGTGCGGAGAATTTTGACCACCCATAGGCCTATAGGCCTAACACCCGTTTCAAAAAAGATTTTCAGTTTCCAATTCACCGATTAAAACCAATAGAAAAAACCCCAAAATATATGGGAAAGAAATTGTTTAATAAACTGCAACCAAAATATGAAGATTTCATAAACAACACGTCTTTTAAAAGCAGCCTTGCCGCCTTGCCTCATTTCTTGTACACAAAATATATTACAGTAGGCCTATTGATGATTTTTTTGAATGATGGTAATTTTTTTTTAAATTAGTAAATATCATGTTTTATAAAATAACCCAAATAATTATTTCTAAGAATCTTTGTTTATTTTTAGAATTTTAGGCACTTATAATGATACATTACAATGTCACCTGTTTTTGTAGCTTATGCTACGTAATCTGTAAAACGTTTAGCTTATGTCACAACTCACAATAAAGATATATTTATTTATTTATTTAGGGTCATCAATCTTCTCAAAATATATATTTAACAAAAAACACAGCTTGTTGAGTTTTGACAGTACAGCTCGTGACACCTAAGCTGGCACTTGGCCTAGCGTGCGCAGTGTAGACGGGAGGAGGGTGGAGGTAGGGAAAAGACCGGACTGCAAACATTTCCATTGCCTCACGGGGTTGACTCCCCTTGCATTGTACTTGAGCGCCTTCATATGGGTCGCGAGGACAGTTGATGCAACCCGCATGACGGGACATAATGTTTTTGAAATAGGTTCTAGTAGCGATAGGCCAAGTGCCAGCTTAGATGTCACGAGCTGTAAGACTTAGTAGTCCTAGGCCTTTGTTGAGTTTTTAAAATAACACTTGTTCTGCTGTAAGTATTTATTATCTTGTAAGTTAAGTGTTGAATCCTAATAAATTAGACAGCTAGCTGGTTTGAATGACATACCATAAATGCTTTATGTTACTATATAACTTATCAGGAACCTTTTCATCAAATGTGCTATAGCTATAAGTTAGTAGGATTTGAGTTAATCTTAACTTATCTTTTTTTTTTAATATATAGTCTAATGATTATACAACACATCCGATTTTGTAGCCACAGCTGGGGTACAGTTTCTTAACAGAGCTACGCTAACTTAATATCGATTGAAACTATAGATTCGATTAGTAAACCTTCATTTGATTTTTTAATCTTCAGCAAGTTTGGTTAGTTAGGTTAGGTTATGACAGTTTCATTTTACAATTGAAATAGTTAAAAACAATGATTATTAATCAATATTTTCAATCAATAACTTAGTTTCAATCGATATTAGCGTAGCCCAGTTAAGAAACTGTACCCACAAATGTGTTTAGAACAGTGTGAACAAATGCTTGTAGTAAAAGACGTGTCTTTATGACAGAATTTACATAGGTCCTAACTATATTAAGTACCGGTAGCCTGCTCAACAACAGAAATGTTGATATATAGCCTACCCTAATCAATATTTAATATTGAGATTATTGAGATTTACTGATGTTGACATGTGCTGTGTTGTGATTAAAAAGTTAACTTAGTCTAAGAAACACTATGATTAATTTACATTAATATTCAATTCATGTTTATGTTTTTTTATGTTTTAGCTTTGGACGAAGCTGATATAGCACTCCTAAAAACTTACGTGAGTAAATGTTTTGTATTGAAGAAATCTATAAGATAGGTAACTTAGGCTTATAAAAAATACGTACCGGTACCTTACAAAAATTCACAAAATTTTGCCTAAAACAAAACAAAATATTTTGTTACTAGGCCTATTTTGTTAACAATGCTGAAACTTTACTTTTTTAAACATTTAAGTTAATACAAGTTAGTACCTTCATGTACCTTCATTTGTATTTCACATTAACTAAGTTAACTTAAGTTTATAATAACACAAGTAGTACGCTTATTCTGCGCGTAATGGGATGAGTGAACGTGAGCGCAACAATGGAAGAGTCCACCCGCACCTAGCCTACTTACCGGGGTCACTGGTGAACACAGTGTTATTTGTATAGGCAAATCAACCAAATCTCAGTCAACACAATCCTAACTTCTCGTCCATTACTTAACCAAAGTCATTGGTAATATACGTAATGGATTTCCAACAGTTATCGATAGGAGGTAAATCCATCGTTCCTGTACAAAACGTCTTTTGATTAAATGAAGCCTATTTCCTTATTCGTTATGAGGCCTATCATAAACAAAACTAAAACAAACTGAACGAATCTAACTTACCTAATTGCGACAGCACGGTGTAAATGAGTCTTCTTAAAAATATCGTATGGCTTATAATGATGATATATAACACATACTAACGATAGCGCTATTATATCACCTAAAAATGATTAATAATCCAATATATGTTTATCTAACTAATGAATCTAAATGCCATAAACGGTTCCCACACTCCGAACTGCTTGCCTTTACCACTTCCATCGCCACTACCTACGTCGTGGACCTGTTTCCCACCCTTCCCTCAGCATTTTAGTAGTGCATGTACATTAATCTAACTGCCACAAACTGTTCCCACACTCCACACTGCTTGCCTTGACTACTTCCTTCATCACTTCCTACGTAGTGGACCTGTTTCCCAACCTTTTCATAGCATTTTAGTATTGCAGATACATAAATCCCACTGTCACAAAGGGTTTCCACACTCCGCACTTCTCGCATTGACTACTTCCTTTATCACTTCCTACGTCATGGACCTGTTTCCCTCCCTTCCCATAGCATTTTAGTATTGCAGGTACATTAATCTAACAGTCACACAGGTTTCCGACACTCCGGACTGCTAGCCTTGACTACTTCCTTCACCACTTCTTACGTCGTAGACCTGTTTCCCTCCCTTTCCATCGCATTTTAGTATTTCAAATCCTTTAACACTTCATTTAATTCACCACTTCCTACGTCGTAGACCTGTTTTCCTCCCTTCTCGTAGCATTTCAGAATTGCAGATACATTATTCTAACTGTAACAAAGGGTTCCCACACTCCGGACTGCTCGCCTTGACTACTTCCTTTACCACTTCCATCGTCGTTGACCTGTTTCCATCCCTTCCTATGGCATTTTGAGAATTCCAGATACATTATTTTAACTGTCACAAAGGCTTCCCATACTCCGGACCCTCGCCTTGACTACTTCCTTTATCACTTCCTCCGTCGTGGACCTGTTTCCCTCCCTTCCCATAGTATTTTAGTATTGCAGGTACATTATTCTAACTGTCACAAAGGGTTCCCACACTCCAGACTGAGACTGTTCACCTCGACTACTTCCTTCACCACTTCCTCCGTCGTGGACCTGTTTCCCTCCCTTCCCATAGTATTTTAGTATTGCAGGTACATTATTCTAACTGTCACAAAGGGTTCCCACACTCCAGACTGAGACTGTTCACCTCGACTACTTCCTTCACCACTTCCTACGTCGTGGACCTGTTTCCCCCTCTTCGCATAGCATTTTTTTAGTATAAAAATGGAGTAACATCTTTGACTATTTAATAGTAAATGCCAACATTAAATTGAATTAAGTAAATAGCTGCTTAGTACTAAATATATACATTTGTATTGTAGTGCAAATGTGAATTGACCTGAACACAAAACTGTATAACTGCCGACTAATATAGTAAAAGTTCAATTTATTATTCTGAAAGTTGTGAAATTATGATGTCATATATATTCATAAACGTCAAAATTTTTACTCCATGAATGAAAGAGCTTAGAGGATAAGTCGTTCTCTCTGTCTTAAGTAGACGACAAAATTGTTGATCGCAAAACGTAAACAAATAAAAAGAAGAAGAAGGTAGCTTCTAATGTTATTCTTATGGGACGAATTTAAAAATGTTTTTTTAGGGTTTTATAATTACTACTGAGCGGAATCGTCTAGAATTTTAATGGGGTATTCCCACTGGTGTCATAATTATGAGTGCAAAATTTGAACGCTATAAGTGCAATGGTTCTTGAGATTTGACGCGAACACACTCACGGACTCACAGACAAGCGGACAACTTTTCTCCGACTCCGCTATACACGATACATAGATTCGTTCACTTCGTTCACTCATCTATTACAGTACAGGGTTAATCCCTTTCTTACACAATATTCATAAAACATCTTTGGGTAAAATATTTATATACAGTAGCCTAGAATCCCTCATATCCAGCCATCTCGGAACCCGGCCCTTGGGTGGATAACAATCTGACCAGATAACCAAATAAACGGATAAACAATTATTTATTTTTTAGATAATAATTAAATGTCTAAGAAGTGGCCAGATAAACTGAGGGCCGGTTAAACCGAGGCGGGATATCAGGAGATCTATTGTAGGCCTATATGTTTCTATTGTCATGAGAATGCATTTAACATTGAAGATGAATCAAAACTTGGCTTTTGTTAAGGATGTTTGATTTAAAATACATAACTTAAGGTTGAAATAAAATATAGCATTTACATATTTAATCAAATTTTCCATAACTTATCTATTTCTTTTTGATAAGGCATTGAAAGTGATTTCTTGACAAAAATATGTTACAATAGTTCAAACTTTTTGTAGGGTCAAGGCCAATACACCAAGAGTGTGAAGGTGGTTGAAGATGACATACAAACGGTGATCAAGAGAGTCAACGAGTTGACTGGTAAGCAAAATCAAATAGAATACAATTAAATTAACCTTTAAAACTTAATGAATTTGATTCCTTACGTTCAACCTTGCTTTTTACCTACCTTTAAAGACTGGGGTGTGCTGTTTTCGGTTCAAAATTAACATCTAAAAGCTGGCTGAAAGCAAAGTCGTTTGACGTATTAGTGTTCAGTCATTAGTTAGCCATTTCATTACATTTATATACACCAGCAGTGCTGGTAAGATAAAGAAACTAAAAAGTGGCTTTCAACGCTATACTCCGTAATTACAATATTTAGGTGGTTTGAGGGGAAGTTCCCGACCACTTTTTTCTGCTTAATGTATACATTGCAGCTGATTGACTTTTTTTGCTGGTATCTACGTCAGTGGCATTTTGGTGATGAAGTAAAATCAAACCCTTTTAAGGGAAAACGGTCCAAACCCATTAAATATTTTGTGAATGTGCTGGGAAATCGAACCCGTCCCTCCCGCACCGAAGTCTTAAGATGCTAACCACTAGGCAGCAACACACCCATGTTTTGACAAATCTCAGCTGTTGAGCTATGTTTAAATGGTAGGATCAAGACGTGGACTGTGGAGGGGATGGATTTCGTTCACTAAAACAGCCTACATTTTGTGGACAGAGTATAATTTTATCCACTATATATTTGTGCCACAGGTATTAAAGAATCAGACACCGGTCTGGCGCCTCCAGCCCTGTGGGACCTTGCCGCAGACAAACAGACGCTTCAGAATGAACAGCCTCTGCAGGTCGCCCGCTGCACCAAGATCATCAATGCAGACTCTGACGACCCCAAGTATATCATCAATGTCAAACAGTTCGCCAAGTTTGTGGTAGACCTGGCCGACTCAGTCGCCCCAACTGACATCGAGGAAGGCATGAGAGTCGGGTGAGTCAAGTTGTTCTTGAGTATAAATTGGTAGTGTTATTACATGAGATGCATCAGTACCTACAATAAAAGAAATACTAGTGTACCTGTTGCTCGAAATCGAGCAATTGTCTAGTTCCGGTATTATACAGAAGTTATTTTAAAACTACGGTAATAACAGTCATAATTTTCGATTAGTTTAAAAGACCTGACTAAATGCTTATGTAACTAATTGAAATAATAAACACTTCTTGTAAAAATATTTTAGCATTTTTTGGACCCGGCCTTATTTTTTAGCGTTTTCTACAAATGTTTCCCGACTTAAAGCTGTTACCAGTAAACATTTCTTGCATGTATTTATTTGATCTGACTTTAGGTAGGTTTACTTTACCACTGTGACAACATAATGTGTAGGTATATTCTTCATAGTTTTTTTTTACAGTCTAACCTTGATATAACGAACCTCGATATAACGAATTCCTCGATATAACGAATTTTTTTTAATCCCCTAGAACTCTCCATAAGACACAATGTATATTTTACCTCTACATAACGAACAAACCATAACAACGACCTTGATTTAACGAATTTTTCGTGATTTCAGCTAAAATAAGACACCTCAATATAACGAATTTATCATTGTCAGAACCTCTACATTGCGAATTTAACCTCTGCATAACGAATTGTCTACGTCTTTCCCTCGATATAACAAATCCCCCACCCAATTATTGTTTTGGGAAAATCTGTTTCTTTATCAAATGAAATGGAAAGGTCACGTCATCGCTTGCGCTAAGGCGGGTTACACACCGGTGTCGCGGATATGATGTCGCCGATATTTCTGATGTCGCGGACATGATGTCTGCGACATGTAATAAAATGCAACCATGGGAGAAGGGACACGTGCTGGCGACATGAGAGGGAATCAGTTCAGTTTTTCACCAGTTTCAATAATGTCATCCTCTGAAGAAGATGGTGTGTTGTTGCTGCTGATGCTACGGAGACGAAGACGACGACGAAGAGTAAATGTGAGAAGAGAGTTCTGGACCCATCCTTATTGGAAGGATAATCAGTTGTCCAGTCAATTCACATTGACTCTAGTATAATATAACCACCACTCGAGTAAACCCACCACTCAACTCACAAAACAAAACAGAAGTACCAAGACCAAGTGACAGCGCCGAAACTACTAGAAACGTGTTCTGCGCATGCGCGGGCCCAAGAGACACGAGACATGTCTGTCCAAACACCGACCGGTTGGTTCGCTCGAGACACGCGTCTGCGACACGAGTCGCAGACAACGTGTCCGCGACACTGGTGTGTAAAAAAATATGATAACATCCATAAGATAACATAGGTTGGTTTTCGAGGGGCATGTCGCGGACACGAAAAATATCGGCGACATCATATCCGCGACACCGGTGTGTAACCCGCCTTAACATTCGTCTGCTCCGTTTTACATCTTTGTCTGCTGTCGCTGCGCGCGCTATGTTGCAACTGAGAACTGATTTCATTCACTGAGGACTGATGACGACGTAATGTTTAGTGAGCTGTGATTGGGCAATATGGGATAACTATGGTGAATTTTACAATTTTTTGATAAAGAGAAAACTAAGATTAGAATATAAAAACAAAACCAAAGAGAAAGTATAGCAACATCATTATCTTAACATTCATTTTACGAGTGTTTTTATTATCCTTAAGTTGGCTATGATTATAAACTTTTATCATGACTTATCTAATAATTTATTGTTTTCAATACAATTTGTTTCAACTAGCAACACCAATGCTATAGTTAATGATTATTATTGACATTCCTCTGTTGTGATAAATCAGTACTGTACTGTAAGTAGCCTACCGGCCTATCGCGAGCAGTAGCTTACAAAACTTTCTACCGGTTTGTTTTGTTCTTTACATGGTTTATGACTACGCAATACAGTGTGATTTTTAACTAACAGTTTTTAACTTGTACCAAGGTCAATGCCATTGTCATGATTGCGCAATATTCAAGATCCCTCCCCTTTATTTTGCCGGATAATTTAGGTTCTACTGTACAATGTAAACACAGTACTGTAAAGTATTGTAGCGTAGCCTATGCTACTTTAATTGTATTTTAATGAGGTCAAATCCCGACCTATATTGACCGACGCTGGTTCTGAACCTCGACTTAGCGAAATTCCTGCAAACCTAACCTCTATACAACGAACCTCATTTTATTAACGAAATCCTTGATATAACGAATATTCAGTTCGGTCCCTTCAGATTCGTTATACTGAGGTTGGACTGTACTTCCAAAATAAGTTGCTTACCATTAGGCCTACTGGCAAAAATTATTCCTCTCCCCAAGTGATCGTGTACCTACCTGGATTCCTTACTGTGAGACCAGGCCTCTTCTCTACTCTTCTCATACGTATAAGATTTCCTATTAATTGTCTCCTCCTCCTGTTTTCATTATTTCTCCTTTAAACTCAAAAAATTGTCTGTTCTTCCAACAAAACTGATTTGACTGTGTTTAGATTTGTCTATAACCTCCTAAATATTACAAACATCTATACTCCCGAAAAGCTGGTGAGTTTCTTTTTATATAGGCCTACAGCTATTTTTGTTTTTAAATTTGTTTTCAATGTAAATTCTTATGGGGAAAATGCGACCTTTGAGAGCGTCTCGTGCCCTTATGGGTAAGAGTTTTTAAATTCTAAAACCTTTATGCAAAACTACGAATTGAGACAAATTATTTGACACCTCAAACATTAAAATCGGTCCAGAAATAACGTAGGAGGAACCCATTGAATATTTTGTGGATGTGCTGGGAATCAAACCCGTCCCGCCCGCACCGAAACCAACACTACATTCTAGCCCCCAGGCCAACAACCACTTAGATTAGAAATTTTCTTTGTTGTTTTAAATTTTTTTACGAGTTAATGTTATGACAAATCTCAGCTGTTGAGCTATGTTTTGCATGGCACAAAAACAGCCCTCACGTATTAATATAAGAGATTAGACAAACAATGCTTGTCCACTCAACATCTCAAGATATGCACTGTAACTAAGACATCATGAGTAGGAGAGAGATATACAGGTATAAGTTCACAATTCGATGTGGTATGCAATGCGCTGGAACAGAAAAAATCAGTGTCAAGTGAAGGATTAAAGCTTAGGGATGATGGTAAGATTTTGATTTTCAACAATTTAATTAAAATTGCTACAAAAGAAAATATTGCAGATTTTCGTTTTTTTTTTGGTGACATCATTGGCTATTGGATGCAGAAGGTGACGACATTCATGATCATGAAACTAGAACTGCTAAAGAATAAGTTTTACCCATTTCAAGATTAGCAAAACAATAACAAAACAACAATAACAAAGAGTCACTAATATCAATAAATAAATATAGTTTTTTCAAAATTCTAGAATATTAAACATTTTTGTAGCTATTTAATTTAAAAGCATTTAGGAATAAAATTTATGATTGGCTTACCAGTCATGCATTTTACTCATTAAAGACTTGAATGTGATATTTCCAGAAGTGTCAATTAATTTATTTGACTATTTGTACCTATTTTGACATCTTTTCTTAGTTTTATTGTTTTATTAATCTATTTTGCTGTTCCTACTTGCTATTTAGATAGACTTTACTTTTATTACAGTACTATCTTGTTACTGTCTTGGTGCGATGTTCAAGAGTGCTTGGAGGCTAGCGACCATCATGGATAATTTCAAACAGCTGCTGAAGAGTTATTTATCATCCAAACATATTTTTTCAAACACCAAAGTGGTTATAGTTTAAGTATTTAGGACACTGGGATTATACATATTTGAATTTTTTTCCAGGGGAGTCCATGAAAGCTAACAGCCATCTTGGATTCGCTCGCCAAGAACAATGTAAATTTCATCAATTTCAAACAGCCGCTGAAAAGTTATTTACCATCTCAAAATATTTGTTCAGATACCAGAGTGATTGTAATTTAAATATCTAGTGCACTGTGGGATTAGAAATTTTCTTTGTTGTTTTTAATTTTTTTACGAGTAAAAACGTCTGGGCTCGAAGGACTCTTAATCTGATGGGTTAGGGCCCACTATATGGGGAAAAAACTTGTTGATTGTTGAAATGTTACAGAGTGGACAGGAACAAGTACCAGATCCACATTCCGCTGCCGCCTAAGATCGACCCTACAGTTACAATGATGCAGGTGGAAGAGAAGCCTGATGTCACATACAGTGATGTTGGAGGATGCAAGGAGCAGATAGAGAAGTTGCGTGAGGTTGTGGAGACTCCTCTACTGCATGTGAGTATTGTATATTGTCTAAAAGAAGCCGCCAACCTCTTAAAAAAAAAAAAAAAAAAAAAAAAAAAAAAACTAGGGATAGAGCACAAGGTTGGACAAAGATGGTGCTGTAGCGTCCCCGCTACAAGCGGAGCGAGTGTAGGCATACAGGCGTGCAACGTCATTGGTACGGACTCGGTAGTGTGATAGCAGCTCTGGGGTCGATGTCTCCGTACCGATGAGTATCATTAGCATAAGTAACTGATTTAATATTCATGCCGTCAATATTTATTACCACAATAGGCCTACTGTACATAGCAAATAATTATAGTTTATAACTTAATACGTATATTTAAATAGCTCAAAAAATGCCTAAATAACAATGCTTAAATAACACAATCAAGTTTACTTGTTACTGTTATTTACTCTGCTTTACCTTTTTTACAGCCAGAGAAGTTTGTCAACTTGGGTATTGAGCCCCCCAAGGGAGTCTTGCTATTTGGGCCACCTGGCACTGGCAAGACACTCTGTGCGCGAGCAGTCGCTAACAGAACTGACGCTTGCTTCATCAGAGTCATCGGCTCCGAGTTGGTGCAGAAATATGTCGGCGAGGTAAGCGTTCTTTGATTTTAAACATCTGCATTTTCTCATACCTGTAAAATTCAAATATTTTGTTTTAGCGTTTTAGGTTACTTCCTTTTAAACCCATTGACGAATTGGGTGTGTACTGTGTAGCCCCCATTGCATTTTGCCTCGAGATAGTCTCATTGCTATCCCACTGGCCCTTGAGTAGTACGAATTAACCTATGAGCGCTAGTGTTGTCAAGTGCTTTTACTGGCAATCAATCCGTTCGGCCGATAGTGGCATGAGTGAGTCGTTGAAGTCATTCTACATGCAAAGTTTCGAATCCCGTACATGCCAATACATTGAGCTTGCTAAATGTGTGGCTTTGGTAAAGAAGGCGCACTGTAAATAAATTATGTTCGGCTTGGTTTGAAGTTTGCAGCATTAGGGGGTTTATTAAGGATTGCACTCAAAACTCGGCATAAAAAAAAGTAAAGAATCAAATTTTAATTTGTCAATGGGTTAAGAAAGATTAATGCAAAATCATGTACAGTAGACTCCCTCTTATCTGGACTCCTTCGGACCGAGGCTATTTAGGATCACAGTTTTTCCGGTTAGACCAACGTCCCCAAAAACTCGTTAAAACGGACCGTTTAAATGCATACTGAATACAGTATTTGACTTAAATTTAGGAGAGCATTGTATTTAGACACGTTATCACTGGTCTCAAATCTTTCCCACGAGAACAGTTGTTTCAGAATCGCCCACTTCCTGCTGATCTAGTCCGGTTGAACCGATGTGCTGTTAAAAATTATCCAGTTAAAGAGATGTCATTTCCGCCGAGTGTAGTCCGGTTAATCTGATGTCTGGTTAAAAGGTGTCCAGATAAGAGGGAGTCTACTGTAGTTAGAAATCCTTTTGAAATAATAATTAATTAGCTCAAATTAACAACAATTATTTTTAATCCTAGGGAGCCAGGATGGTGAGGGAGTTGTTTGAGATGGCTCGCAGCAAGAAGGCTTGCCTGATCTTCTTCGATGAGATTGACGCCATCGGAGGGGCCAGGTTTGACGATGGTGCAGGTGGAGACAACGAGGTCCAACGGACAATGTTGGAGCTGATCAACCAACTGGATGGGTTTGATCCCCGTGGAAATATCAAGGTTAATTTTTCCACTCCATCATGATATGGTTTTTGCACAATTCACATTATGTAGCTTAGTTGCATTATTTCCTTCTCTTTGTTCATTTTCTTACATTCTTTGTTGCTTCATATAAATACTATACAAATCTTTCAGAATCTAGTACTTCTCAGATATTTCTGAATATTTTATTCATGATATCTTATTTCATTTTTTCTATCTGTCCCACTAGAGACGACGTATTGCCTATATGGTGAGCAATAAAATGGTCATTTGTTGAAAATACCCATTACAAATTTGTTTACAATTTCACTACATTTCTAGCTAATTGGAAGAATTTAGTTATTAGAATTTAGTTATTTAGAATATATTCACAGGGTCAAGTCCCGATTAGTTTGGATTAGTGTACAGCTCTGGTATACAGCTGCAGGATCGAGTTGTAAAGAAATAAATTTATAGTAGCTCGTCAATTAAGCCAAACACTGCCCACATACCTCAAATTATTGTAAAACACTAAATGGCACTCCAATAACGTCAGTACCATCTGAAACATAATTTTTATATTTTTATTTTATTTGAAAACTAAAAACAATACATCTATAACTAGTGGCCTATATAGTTTAACCATTCACTTCACTTAGACCACTTCACTGGAATGTGTCATGTTCCTCTGCAGGTGCTCATGGCCACCAACAGACCCGATACCCTGGACCCTGCTCTGATGAGGCCCGGTCGTCTCGACCGCAAAGTGGAGTTTGGTCTGCCTGATCTTGAGGGCCGAACACACATTTTCAAAATCCATGCTAGATCAATGAGCGTTGAGAGAGACATCAGATTTGAGCTTCTTGCTAGACTTTGCCCCAACAGTACGGGTAAGTGAACAAATCACTAAATACAACCTCGTACATTTGTTATTAGGCCAGCGATGGGAAGGTATTGAGTTTGTAAACTTATTGCGCCTATATTTTATCTTCAGCTAAACTTGTTCATTGGTAATTTATATGTGGTGTAGTTGGTTAACCGAATGTTAATTATCCAAATGTGTTTTCTATGATCTTCATTTTCTGCAATATCGATTTTAGAAGTTCGGCGCCAAGCAAAACATAGATCTGTTCTGATAGTCGTCTATTAAATATCAGTTTTTACCCTTTCTTGCAGTACTTTTACCATCTTTGATAAATGAGCACATGTTTGATAAATGGGGATATATCTGTAGTGTTATCGTAAGTTAAATTAAAATATAGTTTTAACAAGACAAATACTTTATTAGGTAGCTTTCACAATAAATTAAGATTCAGAATGTTTACCAACAAAAACTAAACAAATAATATTCTAATACCATGTTCTCAAACACATATGAATAACAACACAATATCTTGATTGCAGATGCAGTTAAGTTGTACGTAAACCCCAACTTATCAGGATGTTCTTATAATTTATTATTTCTTTAAGACAAAAACGCAGACTTGATTCATGGAGAAGCTGAATGAAGTATGAGTGTTTGATGAACACATTGAACATTGATTTTTTTCTTTTTTTGTATTCGTTGAGATTTTTATAAAAATTACTCTTTTTTACAATGCTTGTTTATTTTCAGGTGCTGAGATTCGATCCGTTTGTACGGAAGCAGGCATGTTCGCAATTCGAGCTCGTAGGAAAGTCGCCACGGAGAAAGATTTCCTCGAGGCTGTTAACAAAGTTATCAAGTCTTACGCCAAATTCTCAGCCACTCCTCGCTACATGACCTACAACTAATAGAAGATTTCTGTTCTGTAACAATTTATTTAATAAATTTGGATATGTGTTAAGTTGAGCTCTTTTCATATTTAATAAAAATTAAATTTAAACAAATTTGTGTTAGTTTATTAATTTATAATTTTTTTAAGCTCTTGCTTAGTGACTTAGTTAACACATTCGTTGCTGTCCGTCAATGGCAGGCGTCGCCCTGGTGCGGCGCAGCGTCGTACGAACCCGATTGCCGGATGATTGGCTTTAAAATATTTCGGTCTGACGAATAGCAAATAACGTGCGGTGATGTGCTGCGTTACGACACAGAAAACATACTACTATAACCCAGAATGCCAACCGCATGGTAAAAAGCGTTAATTAATCGGAGAGAGCTTTGCCTGTCAATTCGTAGGCAGCGCCACCAGCGTTGCTATGCAACGTTGATGAGATGTCTCTGTAGCGACGTCAACCAAAGTAATAGGTCTTGTAGCGCAGTCTGTGGATCTCGACCTGCTGACCTCTCTCCGTCGGCTGTCTGGCTCCAACAAGCGATATAGACTCGTAGGGTAGCAGACCTCAGCAACGCGGTTGTGTCCGGTGCTTCCACGGATGTCCCTGTAGCGACGTCTCAAGGCAAGAAGTCTTGTAGCGCAGTCTGTCGATCTTAACCTGCTGACCTCTCTTCTTCAGCTTTTGACTCGAATTGCCCATCCTAAAACAGAAATATTATATACGGTCCACTGAAACAAGGAGTGGAAGGGGGAACGATTCCAAGGATAGCTGGGGAATTCACCCTGCACATTGTCCTGAGAGAATTTGTTGAAAAGTACTGGTGTAAAAGCCCTGAGGGAAAAGTACTGGGGAAAAAGTGCTGAGTGAAAAGCACTGGGGTATAAGTGATGAGTGAAAAGTACTGGGGTAAAAGTGTGAGGAAAAAGTACTGGGGAAAATTGCTGAGTGAAAACTACTGAGGGTAAAGTACAGGAAGTAAAACATTGTTCTCAAGTAAAACATTCTGTATTCTCATCGTGTTCCTACTTTGAAAACTACTACTATATACGATGTTTACAGTTTATTTATAAAAAAAAAACAATGTTTGATATTTTATTATTAATTTAACTTTTACTGATAAAAATTTGAAACTAAACAAACTGAATAGGATATTTTGTTAAATCATCTATTTTAATGACAATAACATAGGCAATTTCTGTTTTAATTTGATTAGAAAAGGCTTTATAAATTAAATAATTACTGTAGAAATATTATATTTCATCACTAGGGCGTAAAGTGTCTCTTATCAATCAGAGTTCAAGTTTTACGATCAAAGCGCAAAGCCAAGGTCGGAAAATAAGTGAGGGTTCAAAACAAAAACTTTTTCAGATACGATGAACTGTATTTTTTGTGGTATTGCAACATTAATTAGCAAACATAAGTTAGTAAATTAAAATACTTTTCATGTAAATGTAACCTTTCAAAACTATTTTTAATTCTTAAGCAAATAAAGGGCTGTTTGGTGAGGGATTCAATAATTTTCCCTCTAAAAATATTGTGTCACTGTGCATACCATCAGTATATCAAGCTATTGACATAAATGCAACAATATAAGCTAAAACCAATTAAATCACTCAAATAATTTTGATACATATGATTGCTTAACGAAGTTTACGACTGTTTACAACAGCTCACTATTACTCCCTAGGGACTTCAATGGCATTTTACTCCCTAGGCAGTAAAAGAATTACTAGACTGAAACACATGTATTAAAAACAGTTTTTGTAACATTTTTAAACAACATATTGTTTGAAATGTATAATTAAATTTAAAAGTTCAACAAGGACAATATATAATAATTTTATTTTATTCATTAGCGCTTTCAGAAACAAGGTTTCCATCTTCAGGCACTAGTACACTAGTACAAATACCCCCGCCGCAGCAAACCTGCAGACTAAGCGAATTTCCATTTGACTGACTGGATTTACACTGAAATGTCTACTTAAAAATATAACATTTATTCCCTATTTAAATAGAATTAGTTTAACAAGTAGCCTACTTAGGTTTGCTGCATCAGGGAGGGTAAAACTGTAATTTTTTTTAAAATGTTAATAGTTAGTAAGAAATAAAAACATTTTCCAAATTTGATCAAAATATGTTCATAAACAAGCAAACTACAACAGTTGACTTATTCTCCATAAGAATAACATGAGAATTTTAAATTTACAATTTTTTGGAATTTTCTCCGTAACCATTAGGCGCATAATAACGCTTCAATATACTACAAAATGGTTTGGAAAGAAATTGCTAAATTTTATGTTTTATGGGTCAAAAATGAGAGAAAACCTATTTTTACCCCATAAAACCCCCCGTAAACCCCCGTTCCCATGGTCCGATCATGCTGGATCGCGAACTCGTTCAAATAAACGTAGGTTTACACGTTTGTACCAAATTTCATCAAAATCGGATCATTTTTGCTCGAGTTATCGTGCTAACGGACACATATATATATATATATATATATAAGTATATAAATATATAAATAGGTATATATATATATATATATATGAATTTGAACGGATGGTGTTTTTGGCCTCTAGGGACCTCAAAACGAAAAAAAAAATCTGTCCCGCGTCCAGGTCTTACCATGAGTACCACGGTAATAGTTTATTCCCTATATGGGAAATTCGCTAAAAGTGTACTAGTGTATATACTAGTGTATACACTTTTTGTACTATAAACAAGTAAATAGTTTGATTTTGTTGTCTAATAGCTAAACCCAATTTGCTTTGTGGCAGGGTGAGGTTAATATCTACATCCAAATGGGTTTTGATGTCATGAAGACCAATTAGTATGCCTAATGCATGTCCCAAAAATGGTAATCCTCCAAAATACTTGTAATAAAAAACATATTTTTAGATTTACCTTAATCTTAAAGTTTATTTTTAAAAAAATTAACAAAATACACACAAAAATGGCGATAATAGGTAGAAATAATTTAAAAGAACTTTAAATTTTTAAATCTACTATGATGATTTTTGTTAAAAACCTGGATACAAATTGAACATGGGGATGGAATTTCTAGTTGTATTCAAAAGTATAAGTAAAACTTCAGCATGAGCATACTCTCTAAAATACTATCATACGATGGATTAGCACACTTACTCTATTTTCCCCTATATTGAGTAATCTCCAGTGTAATTTTTGCTAAATAGTTACAACTGATGTTTTTCCCTTTGTACTGTATTTTGTAATTTGCTAGTAAACTGAAGATGGCTTGTTCTAAATACATGTTAAAAGGATTTTGTTACTTTTACTTGTTATTTTGTTCACGAATACTAGATTTTCTAGTATTGAAAATTTTTAAATTTTCAAATGAATTGTGTACATTTTCTTGAGGTAGTGGCTGTAACCAATCACGTTTAGGGCTATAAGTCACAAATTTCAAGATTTTGTAAAACTCCTTCCGCTGGATTTCAGGATATATATTACATACAGACAAACAGACTTAGCTCGTATTATAGTGTAGGATTTAATAATTTTTCTATAGATTATACTTTAATACATTTATAAACTAAACCCAATACCAGGTTTATTCGGGAATGTGAAGTGCTCTGGTTTCCATGGCAACATAATTGAGTTTTGTCCACAAAACAGAGGTTATTGCATTTGACAAATTTTAATAATCAAAATAAACTTGTTGTGTCGAGTTGGTTTCGGTGATCCAGTTAGAGATATCGTTTGTGATTGTTGAATTGTGAAATAGTGATTTTTTTGTTTTTACAACTGTTGTCCAAATGTTGTTATGTTACGTCCAAATAATTGATTTCCAATAAATTGTGTACAATCAATACTAATATAAACGTGAGAGCGTTGCAATAGTTAAAAACAACCACGAATACTAGAAAAGACTCGGTATGGATCATAAACATAAACAAATGGCGTTTTTGGCCCGAAAGTAAAAAGCCATATGTTCAGTAAAAGGCCAGCTGACCATATGAGCATATTAAAATAATCCCCACATCTCAACAACAATCTAATATATAAAATTCTCGTGTCACAGTGTTTGTCTGCAAACTCCTCCGGAACGACTTCACCGATCGTTATGAAATTTGGTGTGTAAATTCTGTAGGTATGCGAATCGGACGTAAACTATTTCCCGTTTCGAAATTCTTAAAAGGGCTCCGCCCCAGTGGCTCTGGAGTTTCCCATGTTAACCTTATGAGAAATGGAATTAATGAATCTTAACAGCTGTTTCAATTAAACAAGTTGGTTCTGTTCTATGATGTTCAATAGCATTAAAGTTACAAGGATTACCAACAGGGTGCAGCACTATAATTTCTTTTACATTTATGACAACAGTTAATTTGCAACCAAAAGGTGAGTGAGCGTAGCGAACAAACTTCAACCTGGAGGCGAGTTAGCGTAGCGAACGAGCTAACCTGAAGGCAAGTGAGCGCAGCGAACGAGCTCCAACCTAAAGGTGAGTGAGCGTAGCGAACGAGCTCCAACCCAAAGGTGAGTGAACGTAGCAAACGAACTTCAACCAGGACGTGATTGAGCGATGCGAACGAGATCATCTTGAAAATTAAACGTAACGGTACTTTCTTTCCATCGGTCTGTCTTAGGGGAAACCTATAACTTAGGCGATACGAAGTTCGCCGGGTCAGCTAGTACAATAATAAAATTTTAAAAATGTAAACATTCCAAGGTAAACATTCTGGTTCAAAAAGTGCAATTTTTCTCTCTTGTAATATCGTTTCTTTGTGTAACATAATTCATTTCTCTCTCCTTTTATTTTGACTTATTTCATTTACCTTTTCCTTTTGTGTCTTGTGTATTTTGACTGTATTTGTGTTCAATGATGGCTCCTGTGAACCTAGCCCCGATTAAGGTTTGTACTTATAAAAGACTAACCAAACAATTCAAAGTTAGGCTTGGAAAAATTCAAGAAAATATAGATTCTATTAATGAAAGTGCTAAAGCAAACAACCTATCCTCTGTGCAAATAAAATCACTTCATAACTATTTAGATGAAATCAGGAAAAAGCTAGACGACTTTGAACTAAATTTCAGGCGCGTTTTAGAACATTGTTCTGACGAAGAAGTCGATGGCATTATTCTAAATGATG